GAGCTCAATGATGCAGAATGGAAATGGCACCTTGCCTTTCTGACAGATGTAACAGAGCTACTCAACAGTTTCAATGTGCAACTTCAAGGAAAGGGGAAGCTCATCTGTGATATGCAATCACATGTCAAAGCATATGAAGTAAAATTAGGCCTCCTCATCAAACAAGTGAAGGAGAAAAACTTCTGCCAGCTCCCCACAACTCAAAATCTGTTAGCGGAAAAACCATTGGTTGCATTCCCAAACAAAACATGTGTGGATTCACTGGAAAAATTGCAAAAGGAGTTCCAATTTAGATTTAAAGAGCTTCATCTCCATGAACAGGACATACAGCTTTTCCGTAACCCATTTTCTATTGACACTGAGAATGTGGATACAATTTACCAAATGGAACTGGCTGAACTGCAGAATTGTGACTCTCTGAAAGACGCATTCAAGTCAAGCAGCCTTCATAATTTCTATGCATTTCTCCCCTCTGAGACATATCCTCATCTCAGGAACCATGCACTCAAAATGGCAACCATCTTTGGCAGCGCTTATGTCTGTGAACAAACTTTTCCCAGAATGAAACATTTGAAATCTCCAACCAGATCTAGACTAACGGATGCACACTTGCATCACTTGTCAGGACTAGCAGTGACAAATATGGAACCGGACATTGACCATCTCATTAGCCAAAAGCAGGCCCATCGTTCCCATTGAAATACTGGCAAATTTGTTGATTTAACTTTACTTGTTCTTCATTTTAAATATTGTATTTGTTCCCGTTTTGTTTCTTCACTTCAAAATAAGATATATGCAGTGTGCATAGGAATTTGTTCATAGTTTTTTTTAACTATAGTCCGGCCCTCTAACGGTCTGAGGGACAGTGAACTGGCCCCCTGTTTAAAAAGTTTGAGGACCCCTGGTGTAGCATTTCGAGTCATTTCAGCCAACTTGGGCCAAAGTGTGCTTATATTTGTATCTTTCTGTGATTACACAGTACCTACTGAAAATGTTGATGTACAAAACATCACAGTTTTGCTAAATTTAAAATGTTTATGTTTAATTTTGCTAAGTGCCAATCCGTGAAGTTGAAGCATATTTTCTACAAATGTGCCATATTTCATGGTCTACATTCACACTTGAGTATATAATGCACCAAAACCTGTCTCAAGTGTTTAGGATACATGTATAAGTGTCAGTTTGAGAGATATTTGGTGTTGCTAAAATGTATATAAATAAAGCTACAAACAAAACCAGCAGAATAAGATTTTCGTTTTTTCCAATTCACAATTATATACATTTATGGATTATGAAAAAAAACTGCAGGGAATTTTGCGGAGAAATTTTAACATAAAGTCGAAAATGGTTTTGTCTATGAAAAAATCATTTAAAAAGTAGTTCCCAGGTGTGGGAACGAAAATCATTTTTTAGCCACTTTTTCCTAGTTCACCTTACGGCCTACTAACCCATCCAGCACTCACTCACCGAGCTAATCAATCTCTAACCCATCAACTCGCTCTGCCACTGACTCTTTCAACCACAACTCACCCACGCACCCGCCCACTCACTCACCCAATCACTAACCCACTCACTCAATTTCTAACCCACCCACTACCCACCCACTACCCACCTAACCTCCTACCCACACACTCACTCACCCACTCACACACCCACTCACTCATCCATCCACTCGCATACTCACCTAGCCACTCACCTACTCACCCAGTCACATACACATCCACTTACCATGCCACCTACTCCATTTTTAACCCACACACACACCCAACCACTCCCTCAGCTACTCAGCTACTCACCCACTAACCACGTCATTATTCACCCACCCACCCATCACTCAACCACCCAATAATTCAAGCACCCATAATTCAAGCACCTACCAACCATCCACTACTACCCACGAGCCTCTCACAAGTACCCACCCACACACTCACCAACACACTACACTGAATCTAAATTATGTTTATTTTACCAGGTAAGGCTGACAGAGCTATATAAAATATTTTTCAGAAGTGGCCTGGTTACAAATGATTGGTCAACGAAGTGGCTTATCACGTAATCATTTATTGCACTGCAATCATTAAAATGCTTGTTGATTGTAAATGTGGAGGGAAATATACAGGCGTCAGGGTTGGGATAAAACTCACAACCTTCTGCATACCAGGCGAGGTAGTTAACATCTCGCCACTGTGGCGCCCCACTGTCTGACTCCCCCACCCACTAACCCACACACTCACCCACTCAAACACCCACTCACACATCCACACACTCACCCACTCAAATACACACTCACACACCCACACACTCACCCACTCAAATACCCACTCACCCACTCAAACACCCACTCACACACCCACACACTCACCCACTCAAATACACACTCACACACCCACACACTCACCCACTCAAATACCCACTCACCCACTCAAATACCCACTCACCCACTCAACACCCACACACTCATCCACTCAAACACCCACACACTCACCCACTCAAACATCCACACACTCACCCACTCAAACACCCACACACTCACCCACTCAAATACCCACTCACCCACTCAACACCCACACACTCACCCACTCAAACACCCACACACTCACCCACTCAAATACCCACACACTCACCCACTCAAACACCCACACACTCACCCACTCAAATACCCACACACTCACCCACTCAAACATCCACACACTCGCCCACTCAAATACCCACTCACCCACTCAAATACCCACTCACCCACTCAAACACCCACACACTCGCCCACTCAATCACCCACACACTCACTCACTCAACTACCGAGCCACTCACACACTCACCCACTCATCATGCCACCAAATCAATCACTAACCGACACTCATGCACCCAGTCACTCTCTCACTCAGCCACTCACCTCCGACCCATCAACCCATCTACTCACTAATCTACCCACCTACACACTCACCCACTCATCCACACACTAAACTAATATTTTTTTATTTTTTTATTTTACCAGGTAAGGCCCTCAGCTATATAGATCTTTTTCGGAAGCCACCTCAGCACAAATTACAGCTAAATTAAGTGGCTGTTCACGAAAAAAGTTACAGCAACCAGATTATATAAATGCATTTTCAAATGTGGAGGGACAACCCGGAGAACCCGGAAAAAATTCCACGCGACCACGGGGAGAATATGCAAACTCCATATATACAGACGGAAGGGCTGGGATAAAATACACAACCTCCTGTATACTAGGTGAGGTAGTGAACATCTCACCACCTTGGCGCCTTACTCTCTGACTCACCCATCCACTCATATTTTTCAGAAACCACCTGACCACAAATAACAGCTCAATTAAGTGGCTTTTTACGTATACAGTTATAGCAGCCAAATTCTATAATTGCATGTTTTAAAATGTGGAGGGAGAACCCGGAGCACCTGGAGAAAATTCCACGTGACCATGGGGAGAACATGCAAATATACAGGTGTCAGGGTCGGGATCGACCTCACAACCTCCTGTATAAAAGGCGAGGGAGTTAACAGCTCGCCACCACGGCAATCCACCCACTCACCCATTCAAACACCCACCAATCTTTAATCCACTCACTCCAGAATTTACTCACCTACTCAACTATTCACACCCTCACTCACACACCCACCCATTCACCCACTCAACCTCTAACCTACCCACCAACGCACTCCACAACCCACCTACCCACTCACCCACCCAATAAACTAAACAATCTTTTTTATTTTACCAGATAAGGCTCAGAACTATATTAATATTTTTCATAAGTGACCTGGTTACCTGATTATCACGGAGACATTTATTGCAGCCAAATCCTCTAAATGCATGTTGATGTTAAATCTGGAGAGAAAACCTGGAGGACCCGGAGAAAAATCCACACGACCACGGGGAGAACATGCCAACTCCAAATATACAGGTGGAAGGGATGGGATCGAATTCACAAACTCCTGTATACTAGGTGAGGTAGTTAACATCTCGCCACCGTGGTGCCCCACTCTTTGACTCACCCACCCACCCAATCACACACTAACTCACCTGCTCAACCTTCGATATTCACTCACCCACCCACTAACTGACCCACCCACCCACTCACCCAACAATCTACTCACCCACCCACTAAACTACTAAAGCCACCCACACACTCACCCACCCACTCACAAACCCACTCACCCTGCCACCCACTCAACCGCTAACTCACTCACTCATGCACACACTCAGCCACTCAAGAACTTACCTGTGCACCACCTACACACCCACTCATTAACTCAACGACCCACCCACCAACCCACTCACTCACTGACTCACTCACTCTAGACTCCACTCACCCACCCGCTCACCCAGCCACTTACCGACTCACCCACCCAACCACCCACGCACTCAATCACCCACCTACCCACTCACCCACTCAATACACGAAAACTTAACTATTTCTCATTGTACCAGCTCAGGCCCACAGAGCTATATAGATCTTTTTCAAAAGCGACCTTGTTACAAATGACAGGTAAACAAAGTGGCTTATCACATATACATTTATTGCAGCCAAATCCTCTGAATGAAAGTTTATTCTCAATGCAGAGGTAAAACCCCACGGACCCGGAGAAACATCCACGTGACCATGGGGAGAACAAGCACACTCCAAATATACAGATGACAGGGTCGGGATCTAATCACGACCACCTGTATACTAGGCGAGGTAGTTAACATCCCACCACCGTGGCACCCTACTCTGACTCACCTACCCACTCATTACCTACTAACTTACCCACTCAACCTCTCACATTAACTCACTCACCCACTCACTCACTCAACCAACCACCCACCCATTCATCGATTCACTCACACAACTTACCCAAATACCCACTCAATCTCTAACCCATCCCACTCACTCACCGACTCACCCACCCGTTAATTTGCACCCCCATCTTCTCAACCACTCACCCAGCCACCCAGTCAAGCACCCACCCAGTAACACTCACCCACTCAATAACCAACTAACCCATCGAGCTCGTTGTTGTGAGCGTCGCTCATCCGCCCTCCGTTGTTGTTGGAAGGCAACTGCCTCCAACTGGCCAGTAGCGTTCTTCACGAGCCTCCTCCACTGAGGCCAATCTTGACACCGCTGGTACCAGTCATCGGCAAGTCCACTCAGCTCCACGTCCTCCTGTACCACATCACTCCATCTCTTCTCTAGCCCGTGCCGCGCCCGTTTAGCCCCCTCGATCCGTGCCGAACAAAAGCTGTTAAGGCATGCGGTGGCTGGGCATGCGGGCTACATGACCCAGCCAACGCAGCCTTGCCTGCCGGAGGAGCTCACCGATGGGACTTTGCCCAGATCTTTCAAGGATTTGTGAGCTCCTCACACAATCCAGCCTGGTTAAACCCAGGATGGATCGTAGGCAGGCCAGCCTAAATGTTTCCAACCGGCGAAGATGCTCCATTAGGGGGGTCCACATTTCACAAGCGTAGAGAAGGGAGGGAATGACCGTGGCCGAGAAGACCTGAAGCTTCGTGCGGAGTGACAGACCAGGTAGCTTCCACACAGCGTTACGCAACCGATGAAAAGAGACCTCTGCTGATAAACTGGAGCCGGTCATAAGCACACTGCCCAGGTATGGGAAACTCTCCACTCTCTCCACAACTGCCCCATCACCGATTGGGAGTTGTGGAGGTGGAGTGTCCGATGGTACCTAACCTCCAACCCACACACACTCACCCACCCACACATCCACGCACCCACACACTCACCCACCCACTCACTCATCCATCTACTCACTAACTCACCCAGCCGTGCACCTACTCTCCCACTTTAAGATCCACTCACCCTGCCACCTACTCACTCACAGAGAGACTCACACACAGAGAGACTCATACAGACACACACAGACTCACACAGATAGACTCACACATAGACTCATACAGAGAGTTTCACACACACACAGACTCACTCACAGAGAGACTCATACACAGAGAAACTCACACACCGACACACACAGACTCACACAGATAGACTCACACATAGACTCATACAGACAGTCTCACACACACACACAGATTCACTCACAGAGAAACTCGCACACAGAGAAACTCACACACCGACACACACAGACTCACACAGATAGACTCACACATAGACTCATACAGACAGTCTCACACACACACACAGATTCACTCACAGAGAAACTCGCACACAGAGAAACTCACACACAGACACACATAGACTCACACAGATAGACACACACACAGACTCATACAGTGAGTCTCACACACACAGATTCACTCACAGAGAGACTCACACACAGACATACATAGAGAAACTCACACGCAGAGAGTCTCACACACACACAGACTCACTAACAGAGAGACTCACACACAGACTCACACAGAGAGTCTCACACACACAGACTCATACAGAGATACTCACACACAGACAGACTCACACAGAAAGTCGCACACACACACAGACTCACGCAGAGAGACTCACACACAGAGAGACTCACACAGACTCACACAGAGGGACTCACGCACAGAGAGGCTCACACAGAGAGACTCACACACACACAGACTCACACAGAGAGACTCACACACACACAAACTCACACAGAGAGACTCACACACAGAATCATACAGAGAAGCTCACACACACACACAGACTCACTCACAGAGAGACTCACACACAGAGAGGTTCACACACAGACTCACACAGAGAGTCTCACACACACACAGACTCATAAAGAGAGACTCACACACAGACTCACACAGAGAGTCTAACACACACACAGCCTCACTCACAGAGAGACTCACACACAGAGAGACTCACACACAGACTCACACACACACAGACTCATACAGAGATACTCACACACACAGACTCATACAGAGAGACACACACACAGACTCACTGACAGAGAAATCTAACACAGAGAGACTCACACACAGAGAGACTCACACACAGAGAGCCTCACATACAGACACACACAGACTCACACAGACAGACTCACACACAGACTCATACAGAGAGTCTCACACACACAGACTCACTCACAGAGAGACTCACACACAGAGAATCTCACACAGACTCACACAAACTCACACAGAGAGACTTACGCACAGAGACTCACACAGAGAGACTCACACATAGACTCACACACAGACTCACTAACAGAGAGACTCACACACAGACTCACACAGACTCACACAGACAGACTCACGCACAGACTCATACAGAGAGACTCACACACACAGACTCACTCACAGAGAGACTCACACACAGACAGACACACACAGAGAGACTCACACCACCACCGCCACCACTCACCCACAGCTCGGTTCCACTCCTCACCTGCTCTGGGGTCTGTCGGCGCCTCTAACGGCCAAACTGCCAGTGGGAAGCACTCGCGACCACCTCCCATGTCCCCCCCCTCACCCCCCATGCCCCCCCCCTCACCCCCCATGCCCCTCATCCCCCATGCCCCTCCCCTCACCCCCATGCCCCTCCCCCTCACCCCCATGCCCCTCCCCCTCACCCCCATGCCCCTCCCCCTCACCCCCATGCCCCTCCCCCTCACGCCCCATGCCCCTCCCCTCACCCCCATGCCCCTCCCCTCACCCCTATGCCCCTCCCCCTCACCCCCATGCCCCTCCCCCTCACCCCCATGCCCCTCCCCCTCACCCCCCATGCCCCTCCCCCTCACCCCCATGCCCCTCCCCCTCACCCCCATGCCCCTCCCCCTCACCCCCCATGCCCCTCCCCTCACCCCCCATGCCCCTCACCCCCCATGCCCCTCCCCTCACCCCCCATGCCCCTCACCCCCAATGCCCCTCCCCTCACCCCCATGCCCCTCCCCTCACCCCTATGCCCCTCCCCCTCACCCCCCATGCCCCTCCCCCTCACCCCCCATGCCCCTCCCCCTCACCCCCCATGCCCCTCACCCCCATGCCCCTCCCCCTCACGCCCCACCCCTCACGCCCCTCCCCCCTCACCCCATGCCCCACCCCCCATGCCCCTCCCCTCACCCCCCATGCCCCCCCCCCTCACCCCCCATGCCCCTCATCCCCCATGCCCCTCCCCCTCACCCCCATGCCCCTCCCCCTCACCCCCATGCCCCTCCCCCTCACCCCCATGCCCCTCCCCCATGCCCCTCCCCCTCACGCCCCATGCCCCTCCCCCTCACCCCCATGCCCCTCCCCCTCACCCCCATGCCCCTCCCCCTCACCCCCCATGCCCCTCCCCCCATGCCCCTCCCCTCACCCCCCATGCCCCTCACCCCCAATGCCCCTCCGCTCACCCCCATGCCCCTCCCCTCACCCCCATGCCCCTCCCCCTCACCCCCCATGCCCCTCCCCCTCACCCCCCATGCCCCTCCCCCTCACCCCATGCCCCACCCCCCATGCCCCTCCCCTCACCCCCCATGCCCCCCCCCTCACCCCCCATGCCCCTCCCCCTCACCCCCCATGCCCCTCCCTCACCCCCCCCATGCCCCTCCCCCTCACCCCCCATGCCCCTCCCCTCACCCCCCATGCCCCTCCCCTCACCCCCCATGCCCCTCCCCTCACCCCCCATGCCCCTCCCCCTCACCCCCATGCCCCTCCCCCTCAGCCCCCATGCCCCTCCCCTCCCCCCATTGCCCCTCCCCCTCACCCCCCATGCCCCCTCCCCCTCATGCCCCTACCATGCCCCCTCACGCCCCTCACCCTCACCTCCCATGCCCTCCCCTCACCCCCCCATGCCCCGCCCCTCACCCCCATGCCCCTCCCCCTCACCCCCCATGCCCCTCCCCCTCACCCCCCATGCCCCTCCCCTCACCCCCCATGCCCCTCCCCTCACCCCCCATGCCCCTCCCCCTCACCCCCCCATGCCCATCCCCCTCACCCCCCATGCCCCTCCCCCTCACCCCCCATTCCCCTCCCCTCACCCCCCCATGCCCCTCCCCCTCACCCCCCATGCCCCTCCCCCTCACCCCTCACGCCCCTCCCCCTCACCCCCCATGCCCCTCCCCCTCACCCCCATTCCCCTCCCCTCACCCCCCATGCCCCTCCCCCTCACCCCCCATGCCCCTCCCCCTCAGCCCATGCCCCTCCCCCTCACGCCCCTCCCCCTCACCCCCCCATGCCCCTCCCCTCACCCCCCATGCCCCTCAGCCCATGCCCCTCCCCCTCACGCCCCTCCCCCTCACCCCCCATGCCCCTCCCCTCACCCCCCATGCCCCTCCCCTCACCCCCCATGCCCCTCCCCTCACCCCCATGCCCCTCCCCCTCACCCCCCATGCCCCTCCCCCTCACCCCCCATGCCCCTCCCCCTCACCCCCCATGCCCCTCCCCCTCAGCCCATGCCCCTCCCCTTCACGCCCCTCCCCCTCAGCCCATGCCCCTCCCCCTCACCCCCCATGCCCCTCCCCCTCACCCCCATGCCCCTCCCCCTCACCCCCCATGCCCCTCCCCCTCAGCCCATGCCCCTCCCCCTCACGCCCCTCCCCCTCAGCCCATCCCCTCCCCCTCACCCCCCATGCCCCCTCCCCTCACCCCCCATGCCCCTCCCCTCACCCCCCATGCCCCTCCCCTCACCCCCCATGCCCCTCCCCCTCACCCCCCATCGCCCCTCCCCCTCACCCCCCATGCCCCTCCCCTCACCCCCCATGCCCCTCCCCTCACCCCCCATGCCCCTCCCCTCACCCCCCCATGCCCCTCCCCCTCACCCCCCATGCCCCTCCCCCTCACCCCCATGCCCCTCCCCCTCAGCCCATGCCCCTCCCCCTCACCCCCCATGCCCCTCCCCTCACCCCCTATGCCCCTCCCCTCACCCCCCATTGCCCCTCCCTCACCCCCCATGCCCCTCCCCTCACCCCCCATGCCCCTCCCCCTCACCCCCCATGCCCCTCCCCCTCAGCCCATGCCCCTCCCCCCGCTGCTACTTCCGCCGGGGCCGAGTGGAGGCGGCGCGCGCAGTGCATTGTGGGTGGCGAGCGGCAGATTTGGATTCCCGCTCACGGCCACCGTCAGTGGCGAGCGAGCGCTTCTGAAGCGGCGGCTCGCTGGGCCTCCTCTAGGTCGACTCAGCCTGAAGGTGAGAACCTCGCGCGGTGTGTCCCATCAGCAGCGGCGGCGGCGGTGGGAGGAGACAGAGGAGGCGCCTGGCCCACAGCCGTCACGTTCTGCGGAGCTCACGGCGCAGCTTCAAGCAGAGCGCGGCCCTGCTGCTGCTGTTGTGGTTACACTATAGTTGTGGTTACACTATAGTTGTGGTTACACTATAGTTGTGGTTACACTATAGTTGTGGTTACACTATAGTTGTGGTTACACTATAGTTGTGGTTACACTATAGTTGTGGTTACACTATAGTTGTGGTTACACTATAGTTGTGGTTACATTATAGTTGTGCTTACATTATAGTTGTGCTTACATTATAGTTGTGGTTACACTATAGTTGTGGTTACATTATAGTTGTGGTTACACTATAGTTGTGGTTACGTTATAGTTGTGGTTACATTATAGTTGTGCTTACATTATAGTTGTGGTTACATTATAGTTGTGGTTACACTATAGTTGTGGTTACATTATAGTTGTGGTTACACTATAGTTGTGGTTACATTATAGTTGTGGTTACATTATAGTTGTGGTTACATTATAGTTGTGGTTACACTATAGTTGTGGTTACATTTTAGTTGTGGTTACATTATAGTTGTGGTTACATTATAGTTGTGGTTACATTATAGTTGTGGTTACATTATAGTTGTGGTTACACTATAGTTGTGGTTACATTATAGTTGTGGTTACACTATAGTTGTGGTTACACTATAGTTGTGGTTACATTTTAGTTGTGGTTACACTATAGTTGTGGTTACATTATAGTTGTGGTTACATTATAGTTGTGGTTACACTATAGTTGTGGTTACACTTTAGTTGTGGTTACACTTTAGTTGTGGTTACACTATAGTTGTGGTTACATTATAGTTGTGGTTACACTATAGTTGTGGTTACACTTTAGTTGTGGTTACATTATAGTTGTGGTTACATTATAGTTGTGGTTACACTATAGTTGTGGTTACACTATAGTTGTGGTTACACTTTAGTTGTGGTTACACTATAGTTGTGGTTACATTATAGTTGTGGTTACATTATAGTTGTGGTTACACTATAGTTGTGGTTACACTATAGTTGTGGTTACATTATAGTTGTGGTTACACTATAGTTGTGGTTACACTATAGTTGTGGTTACACTTTAGTTGTGGTTACACTATAGTTGTGGTTACATTATAGTTGTGGTTACATTATAGTTGTGGTTACACTATAGTTGTGGTTACACTATAGTTGTGGTTACATTATAGTTGTGGTTACACTTTAGTTGTGGTTACACTTTAGTTGTGGTTACACTATAGTTGTGGTTACATTATAGTTGTGGTTACATTATAGTTGTGGTTACACTTTAGTTGTGGTTACACTTTAGTTGTGGTTACACTATAGTTGTGGTTACATTATAGTTGTGGTTACACTATAGTTGTGGTTACATTATAGTTGTGGTTACATTATAGTTGTGGTTACATTATAGTTGTGGTTACATTTTAGTTGTGGTTACATTTTAGTTGTGGTTACATTATAGTTGTGGTTACATTTTAG